GAGAAACAACTTAATGATGTGGGTATTTCAAAAATTATGAAGGAGGAAGGGCTAAGAGGGAAAGGATGTACAGGAAGGAAAAGGAAAGCCAATAATGGCTGGAATGATAACTGTCTACTGATTAAGAAAATGTCATTAGTAACAAGTCATTGTCATCATGTGCCCCTAAAACCGCCAAAATTCTCCCCAGCAGAGCACAGGCACGGATACAAAAACCAGTGGGCTATTACAGGGTAACACCATTCCCCAGCAGATCTGGGAATGCAGCAATGTCACATAAGGACACTCTCTCTCCACCCTTCCCCTTTTATAAAAGTATTATGGAAGAACAAAACAACAGCCAAAAAAAAAAAAAATCCATGTACCCATGCTACACTGCAACTCCCTGTAAATTCAATAAAAATGCCTCTTCCTGCTGTCCCACAGCATTTTGCACTGCTGACCTGCAGAATGTACAAAAACTGTTTAACTTGCTGCCTGACTTTTCATCTGTTCATTCTCRAACCTCATCCCTCTCACCCACACACAATTTCCCTACCCCTGCTAAATTTTTAAACGGTTTCTCCTCGTGTCTGCCTTGTTGTTCTGACCCATCACTCTCCTATTTGTATCTTCATCCAGCCACGGATTTTACACATGGGGAACTCTTGACAGAAATACATCCTTTGGAGCCAGATGAAATAATGCTGCTGCCCTCTGCTTCRGGACTTGCTTCAGAGCACAACCATGAGCAAACATGAGTTCTGCTGGTTGTTCAACATCTTGCCTTGAGACAAACACCAAAATGCACATGAATGCGTAAGTAATACTTCTGAAATGATCCCTGGGGATYTTCCATCCTCAGAGCACTGATACCRTAATTTCTCTAAGAAAATCTGCTATCGGTTGAGCTGGCAGCAGCTTTGCACTGCAATGTTTTCAGTTTCCTATTAAGCAGATTGGAGCACCCCAAAGCTGTAGGAAAGATGAAGGCAAAAATCAGTGCAGAAAATTGAAAGCCAGGCCCTACAAAT